TTTACAAACGAGAAAACAATTTCGGCGAGAAAAGATAAAAATATAATACGCGTTAAACCTCATGGGTAAATACTGGGCTTCACAGGTGTATATAATTATTAATGTACAGTACATATGTGTAGTAAAAATAGTTAAAAATAAGTATAGAGTATATCAAACAAAATGATCTTTAAAAATAAATAAATAGTTATATGTTCAAAGGAAATTCAAAGATTTGTTCTTTCTTTATGATTACTAATATTCATTCTTAATTCAATGTTCATCAGTGGTTCGCTAGTTAATTACTTTTAATTTTATTCAAAATTAATTTTTTTTCAAAGAAAAAAAATTCTCAGTGTAAATTCATTTGTTTTGTAAAATTTTTTTCAAAGTTAATATTAGAAGTAATGGTTTCCTTAAATTTTTCGGCATTGATATATTTATATATTTTTTTTTTTTTGTTTACAAGAATTTAATTGGCACTAATATTTTAATTTTTTTATAATTTGAAATAATGGTAAAACAACTCACACAGCTAGTTCCTCGGCGGACGATCGATCTTCCGACGCAGGTAGGCTGGAAAAGAAATCAAGGCATTTCTGCTTTGACATGGTTATTATTTTATATAAAAAAAATAATATAATATAATATATATTATATTATATGTGCACTCAAAACCATTTTCTAATTAATTTTTTTTTTCGAATCAAAACGAATTTAAGAAAACTTTTGCCAGGAGATAGGAACCGTAAATTAACCGCGCACTAGATGAATCATAACTTAATTTAAATCTTATAATTATTTAATTAAATTAAATTTTTCATAACATAATTATAATCACTTCAATATTCAATCGCATTCTTTTAATACATTTTCTTGATTTACGTTAACACAAGTTTAGGAATTTTTCCCAGTGTAGCCTAGTTGGCTGATATGCACGTGTACATTTTCGCAAGCTGCATTTTTTTTTTAGGTTACAAATGAGGTTAAGATCGGGCCCAAGCGTAGTTTTTACATTTTTTTTTTCTTTTTCTAAATTTGAATTTGGGTTAGGGCCGATCTAATTGTACATTTTTTCTTTTTTTCCTTTTTTTTTTTTCTAGCCTACATTCTTATTTGGCCGAGGAAATTTCTCGTTAAATTATACGAGAGAGTGCTGCTTCAACTGCTGATCACTGAACAAAATTTGGGGGTGCTCCTTCAGGCACTGCGGCTTAGCTGGCCAAGGCGGGTGCTCCTCAGGGCGACTGCAGATCGCCGACAATGGGGTGCTCCTCCGGGAGGATCCGAATCGCGGGGCAGCGTGGGTGCTCCGCGGGACAGATCTAAATGCGGCCAAGGTGGGTGCTCCTCCGGGCTGATCCAAAACGCTGGGCAGCGTGGGTGCTCCACAGGGCAGATCTAATTGCCGGCCGAGGGGGTGCTCCCCGAAACGCAAAATTTCAGCCTTTTAAAAGGAATCGAAAAATTCAGCACTTGAAATTATATAGTGAGAAAACCCACACAACTCACTTTTTTGCTCGAATTATTGCGTTAAAAAAAATCACTTTGAGAACTCCGAAATACCGCGTGTATATATATTTTCTCACTTTGCCGATTGGGAACGGATAAAATTGTACACGTCTGACGGCCACGACGGTTTAATTAAGAAGGAAGTTCAAAAATCAGGCGGCGTCGGTTGCGGCCTTTTCTAGAAATTTCTGACAGCTGAAAAGTCCGCCATTTCGGCTTAGGACAAGCTTCTCAGTAACAGCTGATCGTGGAACTATCTGGCATCACCCGCAAAAATACTAGTTAGTATTTTTTTTTTTTGCTAAACACTAATTTCCGACACTAAATTTGGCTAGACATCTGGCTACTCTCCAAAAGTCGCTAAATAAAAAAAAAATATCGCCAGTTTTCAAGCCAAAACAAACAAACGTTCTTCAGGCGCCGCTACACTTGGGATTACTTAGCTGGTGGAAAACGATAAGCTGGTGGAATCCGGTTCTAAAAATCAAATTTTGGGGCGGGTCCTTGCCGTGCTGAGTCCTTCCAAGTGTTTAATAAAAGTTCGGTTTAGGGGTTGAATTCACTTGCTGCTTCGTGCACTTTAATGCTCTACAAAAAAATATGGCGTGAGGTCTAAGCCTATGCCTACATATATGGAGAGAGGTTTTGCCTGGTTGGGTAACAGTGATGCCAAGCTTGGTTTGATATGAACACGGGATAAACACAATATAATAAGGAAAACAATAAAGTTTGAATTTAACTTTAAAAAGGCAGGGTGACCGTGAACTTATCCAGTATCCATATAGTTTTCTCTTTCTCTGATCTTCAATGAATCTGTCAATGAATGAGACGAACAAAATAATGTCATACCCGTATAAAAAGGCTATGAACATAATAAATATAAATAAAGTTTCCAACCAATGTTCAAAGTAGAGTTTAAACATAAAAGTTCGCCTTCAAAAAAAAAATGAAGTTCACCTAATCTACAAGCTGCAATATTTACTTCACCGTACAATCACCGTTGGGGAATCCTACAAACTAAATGCACGAATTGCCAAGAATATAGACATACAAAAACATATTGCACTCTGCGCTACTCTCTCCAAATAGAACACGATATCCACTGTGGAATGCTCAATCAGGCATATCGAAAGTAAATTACCATTACACACACAAATGAGATTGGGCTCGCAGCAACGAAGAGAGGGCAAATACACTTGCCGTTCACCTAGAAAACGTCTTCAAACCACTTAAAGCAACAAATAGCTTTGAGCTTCCAATAATGACCAATCCTTAAGTTACTTCGCCAATCATATTTCAATCAGATGAAGTTATAATAGTCATAAAGTCTCAAAAGATCCAAAAATCACCGGTTCACAATTTCATATCCCCTAAAATGATCATAGAATTGCCGAGCTGTGCAGTATCTTTGCTCACGGATAAGCTGCTCCAGAATCGCATCAAGCAACACCTCCAGGCCCATAAGGCCATCCCAATGCACCAAATTGGATTTCGCGAAAAACCCGGAACCATAGAACAAGTAAACCGGATAACCTCTGATACACGAAATGCATTTAAACGACAAGAGTATTGGTCCGCTGCTTTTCTAGATATCGTCCAGTCTTTTGACCGCGTTTGGTTAGACAACCTAATTCATAAAATTAAAAATATACTTCCACAAAACACCCATAATACATTGGAAAGATGTTTTGCAGTACGATGCAAAGATTTTCTCTCTGAATAGCATATTAAAGCTTAAATTAATTTACTGAAATTTAAGGCTGAAAGTCTACACTGGCTAATAACGCCCTTCACAAATTAAACTGGAGTACAGAGTACTTTTGTGCAATGCAGTCCTCAAACCAATTTGAACCTATGGCTCCGAACAATGGGGAAACTCATGCGTTAGTAACTTGGAAATAATTCAAAGAGCTCAATAAAAGATATTGAAAACTATAACTGGTGCACCGTGGTACATACGGAATGATAATATTCGCAAAGATTTAAATGTAAATGTTCAGGCCCATCCTAACAACTTGCGCAGTTGATTAATTAGGAACACCAGCCAGACTCCGTCGAATAGACCTCCTCACAAACCAACAATATAAGGGCGTTTTTCTTATAATTAATTGTAATTAACTAAATAAAAATATATTAGATTCAGATGTACCTTCTTGTCGTTAGTCTCAATAAAAAACAACGTATCAAACAAAAAAAATATATATAAAATCTGTTAAAGACAAAATCAACAAGGTAATAGCTGAGTATAAGGTCAAGATTCATGCTCATCTTGATAGACTTACGGTGACTTTAATTTGGAATAACAGCCAGACACGACTCCGTCGAAGAGACCCTTCCACCAACCAACAATAGTTTGACCATTTTGTAATAATTGATTGTAATAAATTAAATGAAAATACTACATTATTACAAAAAAAAAGTCTTTATTCTCTAAGAGGGAGATTCGACAAATAAAATACGGATAAAAAAAAGTTAAATATATTATTTTTGTTTGTATGTTTTATTTGATCTGCAGAAAAAATTGCTGGATAAAATATTTTATTAAAAGTTTAGCCATTTGCGACTTAATTTTTGTGCATAGTAAACATAGTGTGTCATATAGTTTTTTTGGTCGGATTCATTTGCGACTTAATTTTTGTGCATAGTAAACATAGTGTGTCATATAGTTTTTTTGGTCGGATTCATTTGTGGACTAACAACTGGAATTGCACACAATGTCTTTGAAGACTTTCGAGCTTCTATAGTCTTACAGAGTCTTTATGCTTTAAGTTTCAGATGTGCTTTCTTGCAATCAAAGTATGTACCAGTTTTAGGCTACTGTTGTAAGTAAAAGTTATGAGGCTACATTCTTTTTCTATTTTTTTACGCCGGCCTCAAGCGTCTTCTCATATACCTTCAAATGACAAGCTTTTTGTGCTGTTGCTCGAGGTGGGCTTACTGATATCCATAAAATCGCGATGTTAGCCACTCGTTTGTGGGCATATCCGATGTGTATGGAACAAGTAAAGTTGGCTGCTGTGCTCCAGTTACAATAATATGGTCGTCATATGCTTTTCATCATATTGCAAAAACCTTTTATACTTAAGTAACCGATCAGGCAACATCGTTTTGATTGATTCCACAGTACATGGGACTAGGGAGTTGCGACCTAATTAGGGACGCTTGGTGCCAGCTCAGCCGTATTTGTTGTGGGATCTTTGGAAACAACTACCTCCCCTATATAACAAGAATAAAATAGGATTTTTTTTATTACATTCTTAAAATAAACTCCTTAATTTGGTTTCCTGTTTTATGAGCTTTCTCTAAAAATTTGCGTATTGGCTCATATCATAAAACCGGTAGATTTGAATTTAATGAAAAGATATTTCTGTGACCAATGTATACGTCTGTTCTTTTAGGTTAATGTCATTTAATAACTTTTTTTAATATTACTCAATATCTTTAAAGTTATATGTCTGTCTCTTAAGTCTGTCCAATGCATTAAATTATTTTTTCTGTAATATTTATAGCTGACGCGGACGATTGGGGCAATGTTTATCCAAATATATCTGGAGATGGAGCTCTTGGTATGGTTATCAATCAAAAGGCGGATATATGCATTGGAGCAATGTACTCTTGGTCTGAAGACTACACATATTTAGATCTCTCTATGTATCTTGTGCGTTCGGGAATAACTTGTCTTGTTCCAGCACCTCTGCGACAAGCTAGTTGGTACCTTCCTTTGGAGCCTTTTCAAGAAGCTCTATGGGCTGCAGTCCTGGTATGTCTATGTATGGAAACTGTAGGATTGGTTTTAGGCTTAAGAGGTGAGCAGGCACTATACCTAGCGGCAAGCGATAGAGACGGCTGGTGGATTTGTACAAAGTTCGGACTGTCTACGACATTTAAGCTTTTCGTATCTCAATCGGGAGGCAGCAAAGCTAGTTCTCTTACAGTTCGTGTGCTGCTTTTTGCCTGCTTTCTTAACGACTTAATCATTACAAGCATATATAGCGGCGGCCTTGCCAGTATATTGACAATTCCAAGTATGGATGAGGCGGCTGACTCAGTCCACCGTTTGCGATCGCACCGATTACAATGGGCAGCTAACTCTGAGGCTTGGGTCTCAGCTATCAGAGGGTCTGAAGAGGTAAGTGTTTTTATACATAGCGAATAGCAAAGCAAAAATTGTTGGAGTTGTTACTTTTTTACAAGCCAATGGATAAGGATTTGTTAAACAATTTTCACATCTATAGCGACGATCAGCTACTTAAACTAGCCCAGGAGCAGCGAGTGCGCATTGGATTTACAGTTGAGCGTTTGCCCTTTGGTAATAAATCAAAAACCATTTCACAGAGAAGACATCAACTTTTTTTTGTTGGTCCATTAGGTCATTTTGCCATCGGCAACTATTTGGTGCCTCAAGCGATTGATCAGTTAGTTATCATGCAGGATGACATATATTTCCAGTACACGGTCGCTTTTGTTCCCAGACTGTGGCCACTTCTTGAGCAATTCAATACACTAATCTACAACTGGCATTCGTCTGGCCTCGACAAATACTGGGAATACCGTGTAATAGCCGATAACCTAAATCTGAAGACACAACAACAAGTCGAGGAAACTATGTCCGGCAGAAAAGAAGACATTGGTCCAGTCATGCTTGGAATGTCTAACTTTGCTGGATTTTTAATTCTTTGGATATTAGGATCCGCTGTAGCCATATTTGTTTTTTTGATAGAGCTACTTTATACGAAGTATATACAAATACATTATAAAGATAAAAAGACAAACTCAATGCATTGAATCTAAATTTAATCAAAAATGTATATCTCACTAATCCAAGAAAACAAATTAATTTTTATTTATTTTTAACCTTGCAAATAAAGATTTTCTTCAGCCAACTACAATTGCATTTTTAATTTGGAACAGCTGCACAATTTTGGTTTTGAGAAGTTTGTATAACAGCACAATGTAAGCATGCATGGAGACCGTAAAAGTAACAACTTTGAGCAGGAGTGCACATTTGTTTTTGTAATTGCACACATTATAGGAGGATCTGAATGTCGTCACAAGTCGCTATACACTAACAATGCACTATGAGCCCAACGATTACATTTGATGGCTAAAATTAAACACTCGCGTAGTTTCAAAGATGTTGTTAGCGATTTCCAAATACTTAAGACAACCTGTTTCAAGATGCTTACTCTAGTCTTATCTATGGCCTACGCAGAGACCGCATCTGTTTGCATGAGCGAGAGAATTATCTTTTGTTCCCCGCACAGGGGTCCTTGGTGCAGTGTGTGAGGTACCTCTGCTCTTACAGATTACAAGTGCTAAGAACTGCACCCTTGTAGGGTTTGAGTAACAGATCATTATTTATGGCACTAGATCGATTTACATGACATGCCCTGAACTCACAAAATCTTATACTTTATGATTATTTGTGTTCTGAATATTCTGCCAAGGGCCGGCAAGATTAGGTGTATGGATTATTAGTTATTATACATTGTTATTTTATCGTTATTTTTCGATTTATTTTATTATGCAGCTAACTTATTGATTTAAAATCTTTGCAACGGCCAAAGTTCTATGGCGTTATTTTTAATACAATTTCAAACTTTATTTATGTTACACAAAGGTATTTATAAGATTAGATATTGAGCTAAGGATTGCGTTCGTACATTTTTTTTATTATAAAATATACAGCTAAAATATTATTATTACATTTGCCAAAAATAACGATGTATGAGAAGTAGAATGATGCAAATCTCATGTAATTTATGTTATGTGATTTCAAATCATTTATTTGGCTTAATAAGTTTTTAATCCCTATTGTATGAATAATTATTGATGTGTCTAAGTCAATAAATTTTTAATCTCTATTGTATGATTAATAATCGATGTACCTAACGGGTTCCAAACCACTTTAGGTATTTCTTTTATCTCACCTATATATGACAAGGCCAGTGTCCCTTGATCTTCTAGCTGAATACTGTGATGAGCAACCAGTATGTCATTATGTGTCTGAGCAGTGCAATCCGACCTAATCGTTAAAATTTCTTGTTCTGGTAAACCTTTGGTTTTTAATTTTGAGCTGCCGCATTAATCTCGAGACTTAGTGTTGCTCTGAACCTTAAAGACCCAACTATTTTTTCTATCTAACTCAACTCAATACGACTTATTCTCAATAATAGATTTATACCTGCAATTCACAAATATGTTTTATCGTTGGATTTCCTCCAATGACAACTTCATTCGCAAACTCTTTTGTTTGATTGCCTTTGACACTTATTAAGAGTCGATTAAGCATCTATTTTAAAATTGTAGACTTAGTACTGCGAATCTACTGTAATCATGCGTTCATCCAATTTAACTGCTACTGGGTTAATTTTATAATGCACTGAAGCATGTCTACCAAACAAAGGTATTTTCGCATTGATTATTAAATTTTTAACCACAAATAATACCCTAGCCGTTAGTAAAGAACGTCTTTTAATTCTGTAACTTTTATTTTCACTGGCAAAACTAAATTCCCAGACAAATTGTAATTTATTTTTGAAATTGAACTTTTAAAATATCTTTGTCTTAAAATGTTATTATTAAGTGATTGTGTCAATTAATAGGCTTATGACTCCATATTGAATCTTATGGCATTCATTCATGTTACTTACTTGTTTTGTTATTATAAAGAAGTTAACAGGCCCGTTATTCATAAGATATAAGATTTTTGCAATACAGCCTTCATGTTCTTTTATTCATTCCTTTAAAGTTTAAGCTAACTTCATCAGTTGTTCTTTTCAAAATGTTAGTCGTAGAATCGACAAGGTTTGCTTCTTACTTAAGTCATTAAGGGATGGTTTGTAAAAAAAATTTTTTTTTTTGATAATATTTTATATAAAATACAACATCTCAGGAATATCCTGGGAAAATTTTTTATCGATCGGACTAAAACTCGCTGAGATAACGATTATCTTGTAATCTTGATCAAGACAAGTATGCGGTATGTAAACAATTTTAGACGCGTTTTTCAAGTCGGTGCGTAACGTGAAAAAAGTAATAATCAGATTTAAAAAATTGCACACATTCTTTATACAGTTAATACTTGCGGATAAACTAAAGTTTTTGTTAAAATTTTTAATATTTTTATAGCCAATAATAGGCAGATTTTTTTATGAAAAATGGTACTTCCGACCTTAAAACCGCGCCAATTTCAATTTAATTTCGTTCATCCACACAATAAACAAATATATATTATACATACATATATATTAATTGTTAGTCGGCTCGAGGTCAGGATGTTGAAAAAAACACAAAATTATTTTAATTTTGGTTATTTGTGAATATATTTCGGATGCTCTTCGGCAACCGTCTTCAGGACAACTCTAAAATAATTTCAGCGATTTTAGTATTTTTAACAAACAGAAAACAATTTACATTTAACATACATGTAATTTACACGTCTGCGTACGGTGACGTGGAGCTCTTAACAAATTTTTCTTTCCCTAGTAAGTGTCTATATAAATGAGCGCAATTGTCAGTGTCCGTTTTGTAGTTCATCCGTATTTTTGTAGGTGTTTTTATGATATGTAGCATTTCTATGGTGAATCGTTTGGCATAGTGTTGTTCTTGTGATAAAATACTCGTCTCTTCGAAGTTCGGTGAGTGAAAACTCTTGGCACAGTAGGACATGAGTGCTGTTTTTTTGCGCGTTCGTATGAAGTCTAGCTTTGAAGTCCGATTTATGTTGTGCTAGTCTAGTTTTAAGTTTAGATTTTGTTATTCCTATATATATCATGATGCATATTTCGTTGTTGTTGCCGTTGCACGGTATTTTATATATTACGTCTTTTTTGTCAATTTCATTTATCTTTGATTTTGTTCTGTTGTATATAGATTTTAATGTGTGGTCCGGTTTATGTCTACATACGGATGAACTACAAAACGAACACTGACAATTGCGCTCATTTATATAGACACTTACTAGGGAAAGAAAAATTAGTTAATACCTCCACGTCACCGGACGCAGACGTGTAAATTACATGTATGTTAAATGTAAATTGTTTTCTGTTTGTTAAAAATATTAAAATCGTTGTAATTATTTTATAGTTGTCCTGAAGACGGTTGCCGAAGAGCATCCGAAATATATTGACAAATAACCAAAATCAAAATAATTTTGTGTTTTTTTTTTTCAACATCCGGACCTCGAGCCGGCTAACAATTAATTTACTTTGGAAAGGTCGCTAAAACCAACTAGATTATATATATATTTAATTTTATTTTTTTATACCCTTGCAGAGGGTATTATAATTTCAGTCAGAAGTTTGCAACTCAGTGAAGGAGACATTTCCGACCCTATAAAGTGTATATATTCTTGTTCAGCATCACTAGGCGAGTCGATTAGCCATGTCCGTCTGTCCATCTGTCCGTCTGTCCGTCCGTCCGTCTGTCCGTTCGTTTCTACGCAAACTAGTCTCTCAGTTTTAAAGCTATCTGCATGAAACTTTCCCAAATTTTTTTAGTTCTTCGAATAAATATTTTAAAATTACGGTTTGAATTTCATCAAAATCGGACGACAATATCATATAGCTCCCATAGAAATAATAAAAAAAAAAATATATAAAATAACTATCTAATAATTGAGCTGCAAATCATCATAGCTTCAATGTTTTTAATCATATACGCAATTAAATCATAATTTTAATGTTTTTAAAAATGTTAAATTCTTGCAATAGCTGCAAGGGTATATGAACATCGGCTTGCCGAAGTTTGCTTTCTTTCTTGTTTTATAATATCACTGTGAGTCCAGGCTTTACGCATTGCAAAGTTCCACTTTTTTGAAGAAACTCCGACCGACCGCCGCACCGGGATAAATAATAAATATTAAAAATATATATATATACAAAATATATATTGTAATTGCATACCGTGTAAAAAACTTAAATAAATATATTCACTCAGAAATTAGAAAAAAAAATCGCAAAAATCTTTTTTTTTCAGCCTCGGAAACCATCAGTAATCAGAATCAACCGCCCCCTTGAGGCTATTCTGATTGCTTAATTAAATCCAAACGGAGCTCGTTTATTTCGTGCTCTCTCTTTTGTTATTAAATCTTTACCTTTTTAGCATGTCGAAATAGGCGTCCATATTTTAAAACATTATTAAATCCAAGAGGAGGCTACAAACCCTACTTCCCACAATTGGTATAGATATATAACCGAAGTTTTGTTTATTTGCTCTATCAACTATAGCTGATGCGTTAGAAACTTGACAGTTATAAATCTTCTAGTTATAAATCCATCTTGTATTTTAAGAGTGTCTTTTTCCACTTTCCCTATTGGTCATCTGGCTGGACTCGTGTTTTCATCTTTTTGCAGGAAAATTTGTCCTTCTTATATATTTGGACTTTCCCTCTTCCATTTGTGCCTCTGCTGTATGCTTACATATACTCCCCTTTCCACAGAAATCGATTTTAAATTTTTGGATTAGTTTCCACCTGCCTAAATTCCTAATTCTTTCAACTTTAATTGGTCCACCAATTAAGAAATGCCCTGGTGTTTAGACTACATCTTCATCCATTTCATTTTCTGAGGTATACAACGGTCTTGAATTTAAGCACGCTTCTGTTTGACATAAAAGTGTTGACATCTCTTCGTATGTCAATTTTTTTTCTCCAATTACCCTCTTCAGATAGTATTTCACTGATTTAAGATCAGCTTCCCAAATAAAATCAATTCTATCTTTTTCAAGCTGTGCGGCAATCATTGTGTTTGTTTTAATTGCCTTAACTAAATCTTGGTCTAATTTTCTTAAAGCTCCGACGAAATTATTTCCGTTATTCGAGTAGATATTGGAACATTTACCTCTTCCAGCAATTAATTTTCT